TGAACCACACAGATTGAGATGATTTCTCAAAGGAAAACGATGGCGCAGTTATCCTCCAAAAGGGGAAATAATGTTGGACAGGCCAAAACGAGAAATCTCAGCCACACGTATGGATTCTCACTCACACACACACCTGGGGTTTGTTTTCCTCTCAGTCCCACCCTCAGATGCCGTCAGCCATCACCCCCTTGCCTAAGACTTGAGAAGAATTTTAGATTAAAATATTCCCACATATATGCTAACTCATCAGCTCTTCCCAACAACCCTGCAAGGTAGGCATGACAAAGGTAGGGATTTTTATATCCTCATTGTACAGATGCAAAAACTGAGGCCCTGAATTACTAAGTGACTTCCCCAAATCACACAGAAAATGAATAGGGGGGCTAAGGTTGGATCCCAGGGCTCTGGGTCTCAGGCCAGCAATTGCCCTACAACAATGGGCTGTTCTCTCAGTCAGCTTTTGCTGCATAACACGGCACCCCGTAGATGGGTGGCTTAGAGCAACAACCCATATTTATCTCATGATTGTTTAGGTCAGTAATTGGGTTGAGTCCAGTTGGACTGGGCTTGGATGATCTTGGCTGGGCTTGTTCACATCTGTGGTCAGCTCGTATGTCGGCTGGGACTGGCTGGCTTATGACAGGGCAGCTGCGGCAGCTGCGACAACCGTGGTCCCCACCATGCAGTCACTGCAACCTGTCCAAGATGCGGAGCAGTGGGAGGTGGGCTCTGTGCTTACCTTAAAAACCTGTAAATTGGAGGCTGTCCTGTGGGATTGTTTGAAGGCTCACGGCACGAGCCATCTGTTATTGCTATACGGCAAAGAGAGAGCCGTAGGAGATGACAGTGGGTTTGTGTGGTTTCAAGGAGCACAGAGGTGCCTTCATCTCGACCATCTCTTAGGACTGTCCCTGTCCTATCTCAGGCACCAGCCAGCTCAACGTGGAAGGAGCCAAGACCCGTCCCTCCCGCTGGCTCTCAGAACAACTCTTTCATGGCTCCTGCGCCAGATGGAGCCTGAACGGTCCTTCAGATCTGATCCCGTTACTGCTGTGATCTCAGTGCCCACCCACCTGCCCTGTGCTCACTGTGCTCCAGCCCCTCTCCCCTCCTTGCCATTGCTCCAACTACAAAGCACATGCCCGCCCCGGGGCCTTTGCACTTGCTCTCCCCTCTGCCTGGAATGCTCCACCTCAGATATCCACGTGGCTCAGCCCATTACCCGCTTCAGCTCTTGGCTCAAATATCGCCTCTCAGATTGGCCCCCTCTGACCACCTATTTAAAGTCAACTGTCCCTCGCAGTCACCAGTCCCCTTTCCCTGTTTTGTTTATCTTTAAAGTGATCGCCATCAGCTGATATGTTTTGTATTTGGCTTGTTTGGTTATTGTCTGTCTTCCCCAATAGAAGGTAAACAATATGACAACACAGGATTTCCTGTTTTATGTTGTTTTCACGCTGTATCCCCAGTGCCTAGAACAGGGTCTGGCACAACGTAATAGGTGTTCTGTAAATATTTTCAATTAACTCCTGTGCTTTCAAAGTATTGGCTCAATTTTACTTTTAAAAAACACTGTGCGGGCCAAGTAAAACCTGTTTTCAGCCTGGACCCTGTCCATGGACCTCCACCACACCCCCATCTGAGGCTCTTTGTGTAAGTCTCATTCCCCACCCAGTCGGAGAGCCTGAGTGAGTTTTCCAGATTCCTAACTGAGCGGTGATGGGCTGGGCTCGGGAGGCGGCGAGGGGCCGGAAAAGAGGCAGAGAGAGATGGAGCTGCCTGGGCACCGTCCAGGCTGGCGGCGGCGTGTTCTGCTGTGTAGCATCTGGTTTCATTCCAAGACTTGGAGCTTGTGTGTGTGGAGTGGGGGGAGGTTGGAAGCAGGGGGTGGCTGTGGCATTGAACTCCAAGAAGACAGCTGAGCTCACACAAGTTCCCCGCAGTGCCCTGAAGTGCCACCTAAAGCCTGAGCCAGCCCACCCCAGCTCGGCTCCCGCTGAGTTGCGCTTAGGTACCTGCTGGGACTCTGAAGCTGAGTGTGTTCTAAGAGTTGTTTTTCAGTTCCGCTAAAATTGGCTGAGATTCCGGGGGACAGTCCTGAGCAGATAGTACTAAAGGAGCCATGGGAGAAGCAGGCAGAACAAAATATGAGCCAGGGGGAGAGGACAGAGAGGTTCTGAACCTGGCTTTTCTGGGTGTGGGACAGGGTCCCCGAGGCAGTTGAAGACACAGGGTGGCGTCGACGTTAGTGTAAAGCCATGGGGGTAAAGCGGAGCTGGAGCGAGGACTGACCCAGCCACCGACATGAAGGTGGATTGCGTGCCTACTGTCCCCAGTGAGCTCTATGACTTACTGAAGATTTACTGAACATCTATACTACACGTCATAGTCAGGACTGGCTGCAAAGTGGAAATGCAAGGCCCCTTGTCCAAAAAATTATTAAGACTTTCAAGATGATGACAGCAGAGCCTTAAGCCAAGTGCAGGGCCTGCCTAAGCACAGGGTCCTTCCATGCATGGGAACGGTGTGGCTGTATAGGTCACAGGCCATGAAGATGGCCCTGCACGCTCAGGAGGTGCAGCCGTTGAACAAATACAGACCTGGGTCCTGCCCTCAAGGATCTTCAAAAAAAGGTGGAGTCACAAACAGCAATAATAATAATAAATTATGAGAAATATTATAAAAGAAACAGGGTACAGTGAGAGTAAGTAATGGAGTTTGAGGCAGTGACTTCGAGTGTGTAATCAGGGAAGGCTTCTTGGAAGAGGTGACAGTTGAGCAGAGACTGGCAGAGCATGTGGAGGAACCATTCATGTGAGAGTGGAAGGAAGATGCTCTCAGGGCAGAACAGCAGGGGCCGAGGCCTGGTGGCGGGAAAGGCCAGGGAGACGGGAACGTGGTCAGACGATGGAGCAATCATGGTGATACTCGGGGGGGCCGCAGGAACGTGGGGGGTGATCTGAAAATGTCAGAGGCCACCCCTGGGCTTTCTCCATTTCCATTAACTCCCTTTCACACCTGAAATCTTGGCTGGACTTCATGGAGAGCCACCTGCTGCAGGTGGGACCACATCCTAGGCTCGCACTGTGTCAGGCTGGCACATGGTGAGGCGGCTTGCCCAGGCTGGCGCAACCAGCGTGAGGGCCAGAACCCACTGTCCTAAGATTCCCCTCCTACTCCCGCGCGAGGTCCAGCTCCCTAGACGCAGAACCCGAGGCGGGGTTTCTCATGCTAGCGATGGACTCGGGGCAGCACAGTGGAGACACCGGGCTTGCATGTGCCTCCACATGAGTCTGGCCTCAGCCTGATCCCACAGGTCGGGGGGGCTCCGGAACGTGCTGGCGCCGCAGAGCCATCCTGCCCTGAGATGAGAGGGCTGTGCTTTTATACTCTCCCCTTACCAGTCGTTGCCTGTGGGCTCCTCCTGGCCTGGGCGCAGGTATCTCTGGGCGAGGCCGCAGTTCTCCTTGGCCAAGGGCAAGTCTGTGGACAGTGGAGCTGAGACGAGCCCTCAGTCACTACCTTTCCTAGAGGCCGGGGTCAGACAGGACCCCTGTAAAGGGCATCAGCAGTGTCTGCGAGGCCCCCTTCCCTCCCCCTGCATTCCACATCACCGCCAGCCAGGATCTGCCTGTGAACTCGACCTCCTTTCCCTGGGACTGTCTTCCAGTTGTTCAAATGCCCCGACTGCTCAGGCAGTTGCATCTGCTGGCCCAGGCCTGGTTGCCTGGGTCAAGTTCACTGCTGGGCTGTTCAGGGCTTAGAGAGCCCTGGGTGGCCAAGCTCAAATAACTGGTGCTGCCCAGGGTGGCTTCTGGCCTGGAGCAGCGGAGCCGGGTGGTTTCCGCGGGTGGTCAGCAGGGAGTTGGGACCTCGCAGGTGGAATTGTAATAGGAAATGAATTCTTGGCGTGCATGGCTGAAAGCAGCTCGGCCTTGAAGGAGGCAGAATTTGGACCTCAGAGTTCCTGGGAGGGGACTGCATTCCTTCCCCAACCCCTCCCCGCCTGCCCGGGTCCTCTGAGGGCCCTGCTTCATCTCCACAGCAAAGCAGGAGGCAAGGCTTTCCAGTGAACGTTCCGCAGTCCAGGCCGGGCCAGCCATGGACCCTCATCACCAGGGACTGGGGCCCAGCGGCCCAGCAGGGGCCCGGGGTCCCAGGCCAGCCTTGCTCAGCTCTCGGCAGGAGCAACAATGAGGTGTGAAGATTCTTTTCAGCAGATTTCTTTCCCAGTAGGAGTCATCTCTTCTTTCTGGTTTTGAAGTGGAAACAATGAAGTGATCAGATTAATCTGGGAAGATGATGTTAATCACACGGGAGCAGGTGAAATGGCTCCTCCCTAAGGGGTTTCTCTCCCATGTGTCCAACCAGGAACCCCACCCACCTCTGGCTTCACCCACTTGAAGATTTAACCATTCCACAGGGGGCAGGATAGGAAAGAGTTCTCTCCCTGTCTGTCTCCCAACTTCTCGTCTGTTCAGTTCCCAGGAAACAAGCCTGTGCTCTAACCAGACCTTCAGGGAAGTCGGGGCCCCTGGGAACTCTGACCCTACCCCTGCTGGGTATGTGGCCTTGAGTCCGTGAATGAGAAGAATGTGGGGCCCTGCCCAGGTAGCTCAGTGGGTTCGATCCCCGGTCAGGGCACATACAAGAATCAGCCAATGATGCATAAATAAGTGGAACAGCAAATTGACATCTCTTTCTCTCTTTCAAGTCAATCAATAAATTTCTTTTTTTTTTTTTTTTTTAAGAGAACGGTGTGGGTTTAAGGGAGGGAGCTTCAGCTCTGGTCGGTTTCTGCCTGCAGGGAGCTGTGACCGCCAGCAGGAACTCTTCCCACTGGGGGCCTGAGGTTTCCCTTCTGTAAGGCGGACAGGCCACGTGAAGTCCCTGTTTTCTCTGCGTCCTCCGGAGTGCCCGCCATAGCGCAGGGCCCTGAGAAGTGAGAAGCGGCCGAATAACTGTTTGGGTGACGTCCTCTCTGGGTTACTGTTTTCCAGGAAACAGGACTTCCGCCATGACCGACACTGTATTCAGCAACAGCTCTAGCCGTTGGGTGTGTCCCAGTGACCGACCCCTTCAGTCCAAGTAAGTGGCTGCATCTTCCTGGGAGGGGCTTGTTTTGGGTCCCTGGGGTCCTGAGCATTCTGCCCTTGAAGGAGGAAAGGAATAGCAAGCCAAGAGCTAGACTGTCCCTCCCCCGAGGCCGGGGAAAGGAAGGCGGTGGGAGTTTTGTCCTGGAACCGTCTCCACCGATTTCACTGCTTTGCAAGGTTGGGGTAACAAGTGGAGGCCCGAGCAGCACACGCCCGGTGAGCGGCGGCCTGCTCGACGGTCAGAGCACAGACCGGGGGTTAGAATCCGACTCGGTTCTGGTTCTAGGTCTTAGTTGTTCATTTACTGTGGGATCAAAGGTGGCTCTCTTACCCTCCCCGGGCCTCCGTTTCCCCAATCAAATAAGAAAGATGGACTAGAGCAGGGGCTGCAAACTGACAGGCCACCAGTGGATGAACTTGCCACAGTGTGTTTACTTTCTGGCCCCCTTGTTTAAAAATTGGGACATTTCACATAATAGTGGCTTCCCATTCTGAATCCAGTAATTATTATGCCCGAGTCAGAGGTGCGCTGGGGCCACGCCTTCATGGCCCCTAGGAGCTGAGGCTGTTTCCAGAATCTCACAAGCTCGTTGTTACACACCGCCATTATTAAATTATATAATTTGACAGGGAAAGTACATGAAACACGAGATTAATCCCTTCTTAATTTTCCTACTACACTTTATTATCCTTCATCTTGTGTATGTCTGTTATATCTGCATGGTGAAATATAATACAACAGGGCGCTCCCGCAGCCTCTTCCCAGTTCTGCTTCTGGTGACGTCCTGTGGGTTCTCACAATCAGCCGCAGATCGGGCTATTAAACGTTGACTGGCACAGCTGCCTGAAGTCCTTGGCCATCCAAGTCCGTTGTTTGTCCTTCCCACTGATTGTCCCTCATCATGACTTGTTCCTTTGAACGCTTGCTTGTTTTTTATTGTGAGTGCAATCTGTGAGAATCTTGGGGATCCACCGTGGGGATGTTTTTCTGCAGAGAGGTTGGCATTTGCCACACCCAGGAGCGAGGTGTGCTGCTCGCCCAGGATGACTTGAGCTCCCTTTGCAGGGTCCCAGCTCAATGGCGGGTGGGGGCGGTCTCGCATTTAGCTTCCCGGCTGTGTTTGGAGCCCAAAGTCCGCCTCTGAAACACGGTGCTGGTATTTGCATTGGCTGACTGCTCACAGCTCCCTGTTCTGGATTCAGTTTACTGTCTTTTTTTAAAATCTTCTTTTAAATTGCCTTCTAAAAGTATAATTAATGATTCTTCAGCAGGACACATTTGCAGTACTTGGATCAGTTTTAAACCTGTGTGTGTGTACGCGTGCCCTGCTCTCTCTCCTTGCACCTCCCATCCCTAGGTAATTGCTAATCTTCCTTCTGTCACTGTAAATTAATTTACACTTTCTAGAATTTTATATGAATGGAATCATATAGTGTGTACTCTCTGGAGTGGAGAGAGATGTTTCTCTTCTTTCACTTGGCTAATTATTTCATGATCCATCCATGTTGTTTTGCCCACCAAGTTTGTTCCTTTTTGTTGATGAACAGCATCTTTCATGCTGTGGATACCGCATCGTGTTTATTCACTCATCTACTGATGGACAGTTGGGTTGTTTCCAGGTTTTGGCTAGAACAAATAAAACTTTGTATAGACATACGCTTTCCTCTCTCAGGTAAATACCTGGGAATGTAATGCCTAGGTCATATGATAGGTGTATATTTAACTTTTTAAGAAACAGCCAAACTGTTGTCCAAATTGGTTGTGCCAATTTAAATTTCCAGCGGAAGGGCATGGGAATTCCCACTGCGTCGGCTCCTCACCAGCACTTGGTATGCTCAGTCTTTCTCGTTCTAACCGTTCTAGCGTGTGAGTGGTGGTGTTTCTCCGTGGCTTTAATTTGCACTTCCCTAATGACTAGGGTGTTGCTTATCTCCTTACATTGCTTGTTAAGTTACGACCTCTTTGTTAAATTATCTGTTCAAATCTTTGCCCATATTTAACACAGGTCATTTAGCTTCTTGGTTAAGTTCTGCAGGGGTTTTTCCTGCGTAGGTTAGAGATGAAAGTCCCTTGTTGGATATACATTTTGCAACTATTTCTCAGTCTAACCCTTGCTTTTTCTTTTTCATAAGTCTTTTGAAGAGGGAAAGCCTGTTCATTTATTTTGAAAGGGGGAAGAATTGTTGGAGCACCCCCTTACTTTTTAATCCCAGAACTAACTGCAGTAAAGGAGCATTGCTCTAGCTTACCCAGAACCTAATTATGTTCTGTATTAGTAAGTTATGTTATGTGTTAGTAAAGAGTCTTTCCAGATAGCTTGTCCATCCATATTCTCAGAAGCAAAAGCTCCTGTCTCTTCACTTCTTCTACCTAAGACCTGAGTCTGAGAGTTTTGAAGACAGTACTGAGCGCTCTCGGTTTCCTTTTTGAAAGGAAACACCTACTCCCCCAAGCCCTTCCCACGATGTGCCTTGGAGCCAGGGATTATTTTGCAGAAAATACTCCAGCAACAAAAAGAGTGTCTCTGTAAGATAAACAGTTGCCTGAAGGGTGGATGGGATAAGGTACTTATTTTAGTTTTGAAATGTCAGTTAATTAAAACCCCATCCATCCGAGTTTACTTTAGTGGACACAAAGCCCAACAATTTGCTTTACCGTTAGATTAGAATTATTCGAACAGCCGAGCTGCAGCCTCAGCAGCAGCGCTCCTGGGCCGCTGTGAAACATCTCGGCATTCTGAGTGCGTCTGGCTGGCTGGCTTGCTACTGCATTTTCTTCATATATTAAAATTTTTTTCCAATAAATGCTAATGGGTGAATTATAGTCATCACACATGCTATCTAGTCGGCTGCAGACGCTGCTAATGTCTTTCTCCGGGAAATTAAGAAATCTAGTCTTCATTAGCTGCTGGCTACCCAGATACACTTACTGCTTTTGTGATTTTCACATGCCGTCCTCGCTTAGCCTCCTTGAGACTAACAGTGGTGTCTGAAGCACATGCCAGTGCTGGAAAGCAGTGAATGCACCTCCTTTTGTGCGAGGGCAGGGCAGAGGTTTAGCTCTTTACGTTGGAGAAACATGGAGAGAGATGCTGGGGAGTTGCCACTCCTCCATAGCTTTTAAGTCGGCAAACGACAGAATGCCAAAGATGGAGGTGGAAACTGAGGCACAAAGAGAGGACATACGGTAGGTGTATGTCTATGGCCACACACCCAATAAATGGAGATGCTGGTCCCCTTTCTAGAATGGAGCGTTCCTTCCCAAAACTTAGGTGCTAGAAAGTTCTCTTTAGGATGATCCAGTGACTCTTCCGGGCTCATGGCCCTCCCTGAAGTGTCCGAGACAACAAAACCCAAGGATGATGTTGGCCGTGTTATTGTTAAGTGATCTCTCATTGGGGCCCCAAACCCATTATTTAAATACGTGAATGATCAGCTCAGTTAATTAATAAGCTGAACTGATTGGTCATTTTGACCACAGCTGTGGATTTTACAAGCGTCCATTACAGTAGCCTTGTGTTAGATGTACTGGACTAAGATCATAAAGACTAGGGGAAGATGGAAGTAGGGCATTGTAATTTAAACTATGTGGGTTTTGCATCCAGACGGTTGTGGTTATGAGATTTCTTTCCTGACTTTACTCTTTTCTTTCTCTCCTTTCTCTGCCTTCCTTCAGTGATAAAGAACAGTGAGTATTTTACGCTGTTTTATTTTTTTTGACTGACTGAATTGTATCTCTTTTCTGATCCAAGTGGCTTGCTCCTGCAGAGAGATGGTTTAACAAGGAACCAGCGAATTTTACATATCTAAAAAAAATTAAGTGATTAAGAAAGCACACACCCTTTTGAGGAAGAAAATAGGAAATTTCAAAAACTATCTTTTTTTAATGGTTTTATTTATTTTCAGAGAGAGGGGAAGAGAGGGAGAAAAAGGGAGAGAATCATCGATTGATTTCCTCTCCTGTGGGTCCTGACAAGGATCTGAACCCGCAGCCCAGGCATGTGCCCTGATCAGGAATCAAACTGGCAGCCTTTTTCTTTGTAGAACAACACTCAACCAACTGAGCCACGCTGGTCAGGGCCAAAAAAAATAAAAATAAAACGTGATGAAAGGATGGAAAGTGCTCCTTAGGGGAGCCCTCAGTTTCATTCTTGAGTGACTCGTGGGCTTTGAGCAAGTTTATCCACCACGTGGTGCCAGTTTCTGCAGCATTTGCCTCGGAGCACTGTTCTGAGATAAAGAAAATGTGAACTCAACTGCCACCATTAATAAAAGATGATGATGAGCAGAACGGACCTTGTGGGGAGCTGTGTGCTACGCATACTGTCCCTGTCACCTCCTGGGAGGTCCGCCTGCTTTCCCAGGGAACTGCCCTTGGCTCGGAGGTCCTAGCTTTGCTCACAGCTTTTGTGTTTTAAATTGGCTTCGTTTCCCCAATAGGCGTGACAGATTGGATGCAGCATCCAGTCACTGAACGGCGAGCGGACCGGGCTGTGGTTGTGTGTGCACCTTCAGAAACTGCAGAAAGTCATTCCACCCTCCCCCGAGCGGGGACATTGTCACGCAGCCACAAGCTGAGCGCGGGGTCTGTCGTCAGAAGACCCAGTTGAGTCTTGCTCTGGGTCCATGTCAGTGTGGCCTCGGGCACGCCCCCCTCTCCTTGAGGCCTGTCTCCTTTGTAAGATACGTGGGACAGCCTCCTCAGCAGGTGGCCGTGGGATCCAGTGAGATGCCCTGGGAAGCTTTGTAAACTGTGAAGCACACTGAGCAAAGCCAGAGGAGAGTGTGAATCACAGAGTTGCCTCAGCCTGTATGTGTATCCATTGTACATGCATATATTCCTACATTATATATATGCATTGTGTATATATATCATTTGCATAATTTGTTCTGCTTTTTTGGATCCAAATGACCACATCATCAGGCCCAGAATCCTGTAAAGGTTTTATTGACATTGATAAGGTGGCCCCGGGAAATCACTTTCCCGGTTCTGTGTCTCAGCTTCTCCATCGGACGAATGGAAGCTTTGGACAAGCTGATTGCTAAAGACCATTTGAATGTCCTACAGTTTCTGTTGTTGGCTGGCAGGACTCTGGCCAGGCTAGATCTGCCTTTTATGAATATCGTGAGTGTGTTGTGCAGACATGCCAGGCAGAGACGTTGAGTCATTGTTGGATTATAAATATGAACATTACAAGAGAGAAGCCCATGACCCCAGAGGGCCTGAAGGCCCGTCCAGTCTTCCTGAGTACCGGAGGTCATCCTCCTTGGCCCCCTCCCCCCTCCTTCCTTTCCCCTTCCTTCCTCCCTCCCTCCCTTCATTAACAAATATTTACCAACTTGCTACTGCTACTATGTATCAAGCGCTGTTTTAAGTACCAGGAATACAGGGATTGCCAAAGTATGTGTGTGTCCAGGGGGGTCTACAAACAGCCAGGCACCAACAAATATACTCCAGCCTGCTAGGAGCTCTGGTAGCGGAGTCACAGTGGGCTGAGAAAGCACAGGAAGGGCGCTTAGCCTGGACTTGGGGGTCATGATGGGGCAAGTGCAGTGGAAGATGAGACCAAGTGAAGGTAGAGCAAGATGAAGAGAGTAGTTCCAGGAAGGGGAACAGCATGTGCAAAGTCCAAATATGAGAGTGAGCACGAAATTTTAGAAGAACCGAATGGAACTCAGTCTAGCTTAACAGATCAGCAGGAATCCTAGGTTCCCTTAGCATTCTGAAGGGGGCAGGGGACCATGACATCCATCTGTACCCCCTTTAGTCTGGCCGGGGTACATTTCATCTGAAAGGGCCTTACATACCAGCAGGGCACGAATAAAACATTTTGTGTTGTGGCTGCCCCTCCTTCCCCGTCCTTTCCTTCAGGATTCATTAAAATCTCAGTCACTGAGCTGTAATGCGACTTCCTGCTGATACCTGCCTATGCCGGCATCCTGGGGGAAGGGAGAGAAAAAGGAGAAGAAAGGAAAGAAAAGGGATTAATTTTCTGCACAGCGCCGCCGCTGTGTAGCGCGTCAGAGCCTTGGCACCCCGACAGCACTTCCATCATTGCACTCCTTTTGGGAGTTATAATTTATTAAAAGAGACATCTGGCGGGTGTTTATTACGTGACTATTGTGTGCATGGAATGAAGAATTAAGGTGGGAGCAGAAAGGAGGTGGGAGCCTGCCCTTGGTCGTATTGTAGAGAGGAACGTCTATGGGGGGCCTCCCCCTGGGGTCCGGGCTAATTCCTTTTGTGCTCGGGGCCACAGGTGCTGGTTTTGGTGGGAGGGCTCCTTCTGATCCTCTCTAGATGCACCTAAGCTGGAACATTCAGGGAGCGATCATACATGTCCAGGATGCTGGTTTCTTGAGCCGCTGACCAAATTCACTCCACTCATGTTTCTCGATCGTTCCCTTCCCTCCTCTGAGCGGCAAGCCTCTGGAAAATGGTGTGAGTTGCAGTTGCAGGGATCTTCAGACTTCTGTTAGCAGTGAAACTCTTCCTTTGAATAATGTTTTATTCTGAAGCTAAATAGATGAGACAGGTCAGAGTGGAGCTGGGCAAGGACCCTTAGCAGCTGAAAGCGTTAAATACATCACAGTGAACTTTGCGCAAGTGTAATTTAAAATAGTACCAAACTGTAACGTAAATATAGGGAGTCTAACAAGCTTCGCATTTGCTGCTTGTTGTCTTGGTGGATACTGTGTCAGCTAGCTTTTGCTGTGTAACAAACCATCTTAAAACTCAGTGGCGTAGAACAATGATTTGTTCCTGGGAATCCGGGCTCGCCCGATGGCTCTGCTGATCTTGGCTGAACTCGCTTATGTGTCAAAGGGCGGGCTGATCTAGGGTGGCTGTGGCTGGAATGACTCAGCTCTGCTCCCCTCGTCTCTCATCCTCCAACATTCTGTCCTGGACTTGTTGTTGCGTCCTGGCACAGGGGTAAGAGTAAATGGAGACACACAAGGCTGTTTCAGGCGTAGCTTCTGGACCAGCCTACCGTCGCTCAGCTGCATTTTACTGACCAAAGCAAGCGGTGAGCCCAGGCAGGATTTGAGAGGCAGGGAACTAGAGCCTGACCCTGGTGAGGGCCATTGGAGATTCACATGACAAAGGGCACGGGTGCTTCGAGGTGTAGGGGTTGTCGGTGCCATGACTTGTGTTTCATGCTTTTAGTAAATATCAAATATGAAAGTCCTTAAATTTTTTTCTCTTCATTTTCTTCACTGGCGCCCTCGCTCCGTGAGTGCTGGGAGCCCAGCATTGCCATCTGGCTGGCAGGGTGGGGGACCTGGTTCCCTGTCGGTCCCACACCAGCCAGGGCTGAATTTTGTTTGATTAATCAAAATAGAAAAGGAGCATATAGAAAATAAAACCTGAATAGGGATCGCTGTAAGCCCATCAGATGGACAGAGATTCTCTGCTCCTCCTCCCTCTCCTCCTCCTTTTTACAACACAACTTTTTTTTTTTTAGAAAAAGATAATTTGCATTAGTGATGGGTGCAGTGCAGATAGTGAACCTGGGCCATGGGGGACCATGGAAGGCCTCCCAGGGGAGGTGACATTTGAACTGAGGTTTGGATGATGTGAAGGAGCCATCCGTGGACAGATCTGGGGAGCTAAGAAAGGGGGCAGCAAATGCAAAGGCCCTGAGGCAGAAGCAAGGTTTTGGTGTTCAAGATGGAGCAGGGAGGCCAGCGAGGCTGGCGTGTGGTGAGGGGGCGGTGAGGATAGGGCAGGTTAAGGGCAGATCAGAGGGGACTTCACAGATGGGCGAGAAGACTGACTTTGATTTCTACTAAAGTAAAATTCACAGAACATAAAATCGACCATTTTACAGGGCACAGCTCAGTGGCGTTTAGCATATTCACTATGCTACGCAACCTCAGTGCAGTTCTGAGTTTTATTTGATGTCAGGGAGAAGCCATGGGGGGGCATTTAGCAAGGGATTTGAGCACGTTCAGCACGTGTTCATCCCAAAGGCCCTGGCTCCGAGGCAAGGTGTTTCCCGCAGAATTTCACCTCCTCCCGTGTCCCCCAGCCAGACTTGCCCCGGACACCTGCTTCCCTTCACCTTCAAACTCTTCCCTTCTCTCCTCTTTAGTATGAACCGGCTAAGACAGGAGGATGGCAGAGGGGGTGGCAGGCAAGATGGGGCTTTAAATTTCCAGCATTGAGTGTCAAAAGGCAATTTCATGCCTGCTGATGAGATTAGAGCAGTGGAAGTAATAGAGGCTGGCAGCTAATGGGGCGCCAGCTCTGGAGGACTCCAAGTTACTGTTCTTTTTTCCCCTAACAGGGACCAGAATTTCTAGTGGTGTTTAACCCTGCACTCGGGCAACGCGCCTTGGTGGCCCGGGGCATGGACCATGTCATTAGTGGACATGATTAGTGGATCATAATTTGCCAGAGACTGCAGCTCTCCAGCCAGTAGCCTCTGATCCTCTGTACCGTCTGGGGCTACGCAGGCAGGCACTCAGTCCTCTCTCTCTAACTGTGGAGGTTAAGTGCACAGGCTGCCCAGGTTTGAATCCCACCTCTGCCACTTTCTAGCCGTGTAACCTTGGGCAGGTGGTCTAATTTCTCACCAGTAACTGGTCAGGAACAATCCCTGCCTTGTAGAGATGCTGTGAGGATTAAATGAGGTAAAGCCAGCACACAGTAGGGATGACGTGAGGGTCAAGTGTGGTAATGTGGGTACCCAGTCGGAGCTATGTCCCTGTTTGCTTTAAAAAAGAAAAGCCAAGAAGAACACAGGAAGAAACTCAGAATGCTACAGGAGCTTTTGAGGTTAGAAATGTGGATGTTTATGTGGAGTCAAGGGATTTTTAGAAATCTAGTTGGCAACTAGTTTAAATTTATATTTTTAAAAAATCTGTGGCATAAACCAAACACCTTCGTGCCAGGCAAGGGCTGGGGTCCACCTGGAACGCAGGGCTTCAGACCGTTCTCCCAGAGCTGGTTCCACTGCGCCTGTAGAAGTCTCCTCCGGAATCTTTTTCTGAGAACACCATTATCCTCCAGGTTCCCGTGAGCTTCCTGCAAATGCCGCTTACAGAGCGTCTGCCACGTGCTATGCGTGTAATAAAAATAAACTCATTGTGCTGACGAGTGAGCTGAGGCTCTGAGACATACAATTCTTTGACCCAGAGCCTCCCAGCCAGGGAGTTCCCCAGCAGGGATGTGAACTGGGGTTTCCCAACTCCAGGGCCTGGGGCCTACCGACAACCCTCCTCTGCCTCCTGGGCTTCCCATCCAGCCTCACGCCTTCCCTCATTACCTTTCAGGCTCCAGGCGGGCTGGTCCGTCCACCCCGGAGGTCAGCCCGACAGACAGAGGAAGCAGGAAGAGCTGACAGATGAGGAGAAGGAAATTATCAACAGGGTGATCGCGCGGGCCGAGAAAATGGAAGCAATGGAGCAGGAACGGATCGGGTGAGGCCCCGCACTTCCCATCCGTTCGGAGATCCTCGAGGCGCTGCTGGGGGCAGACGCCCTTCAGCTGCGCCGTCCTGGCCCACCAGGCCACCGCCCAGGCAGAGCTGGAGGAGAGGGTGGGCCGGCGTTTCTCATCTGGGTGCGCGTTAGGCGGGGGTCGGGGACCTTCCGATAGGGAGGGAAGAGGTAGCCACCGGAGGCTGGAGGTGTGTGTGAGCCAGTTTCAGCTGCCTCAAAGCATGTTCTGGAGACACTGGCCACGCAGAGGTGAGGCAAGGAGGAGAGAGCGTGCGTCAGAGACCATCGGTAAAAGGGAGGGCGGCCCCGGCATGAATTATTTGAGAGACCCGGAGAAATCGGTCCTGAAAGGGAGGCCCGTGTGACAGCGAGGTGGCAGAGGTTCACCTGGCGGGGGTGGGCACGGAGCACCCGGAGCCATCCCAGCTCCCCGCCTGCAGCCGTGGGGCCTGCGCTCGGCGCACCACTGTCCGAGCCGCGGTTGGCTCGCTGCGGGAGTCGGGGAGATGCCCGTGGTTACCCCCAGGGTGCTTGCCTGGCGTGAGTAAAGTGACTTAAGTACAGGTCGTGGCCCTGGCAACGCTTCGTGTTTGGTAAATGGAACGGTAGGGAGAAGGGAAAAAGCAGGATTCCGAGGGCAGAGATTGAGACAGTGTGTATGGGAGAGGAGCAAGGGGTGTAAGGGTGTGTGACGGCTGCGACGGCATGACAAAATCCAGGGGCGGGGACAGTACTAGGGAGAGGGGAGGCGGTGCGCGGCCGGGCTTGGGAAGGGGAACGCGGGGGGGTGCGGGATGCGGGTGATCTTCAGTGCCGAGGGGGAGAGGAGAGGGGCGTGGGGCGGGGGGGGCGGCGCTGCTGCCAGGAGGCAGGGAGGCCCCGAGTGGCCCCCCCCCGAGGCTGGACCCTGCAAGGAGAAACGGGAGGGAACAGGATGGCACCTCCTCCAGCCGCCTCCCCGGGCCTTTGTGCCAGGGGCTGCCTTCGCCAACTGCCTGCAACAGATTTAGGCACCGAGGTGCCCATGTATCTCCTCGCCCACACACGCAGCTTGGGGTTCGGGAAGCTCTTGGATGGATGATGATGTTACAAACAGGCAGGAAGTGGGTGCCTTTGATTTGAGCCTCTGCTGATAAGTCAGGGCAGACGGGGAGGTCAGAGATGCTGACAAGTGACAAAGACCCACCATAGCCTGTGTCTGCTTCCTCGTGAGGCTGCTGAAGGGATAGGTCTTTGAGGGGCCTGCTTAGAGGGTTGAGTTTTTATTTTGCTTTTTAAAAGATGGAGCAGGAGTGGGGAGCTGTCCGGGCTGGAGGTCTGTGTATGTCTGTGCTCATGCAGTTTTGCGTGGGTGAGTATATGTTTGTGTGCCTGTGTGTGTGTGTGTGTGTTTACTTCACCCACCAGTGGGCCTGCTCCTTTGTGCAGGAAAGAGGGATATACGTAGTAAAGATAAACCTGTGGAAGCAAGAACTCCTCCCAGCCTTTTTCCCTCATAGCACTTACCACCTGCCAATGTATTTTATATTTACATATTTACTTTGATGATTATCTCTCCCTGTTGGATGATAAGGTTCCCAAGGGTAGAGATTTTTGCCTATTTGGTTCACCACTGAATCCCCAGAGCCTAGTACATAGGTGTGCAGTAAAATATTTATTGAACGAATGAGTGAAAATGGCAGACAATGCTGCCTCCTAATTTCTCTACATCTCCTGTGGCCAAGAGGCTGGAGGGTTTAAAATGCTGTAGTCCAGGGCCCAAACTCCCAAGGAAGGCACTCTGATTGGCTGACTTATATCAGGTGCTCTCTCTCTCTCGTCCAGTCAGCCGCGCTGCCCATGTTATAGAAACATGGCTGTTGGTCTGATTCGGGGGATGAAGTTGCGGGGGGGAGTTAAGGGGTGGGGGTCTCTGTGGACTGTAAAGATTCTAGCTTGAACATTCTAGAACAGGGTAGATGGGTCCCCTGCCTTGTCCTTCATATCTTGTGATACTGCCCTTGACTAAACTGGTGACATGATGGTTAATCACTGGGGCCCCAAAGTCAGAAAGACCTGGGTTCAAATTCCTGGACTACCACTTACCCGCTGTGTGACCTGAAGTAAGCCATTTGCCTCCCTGTGCCTCAGTTTCCTCATCTGCAAAGTGGGGATAGCATTAACATATGCTTCTCGGTGTTTAACATGCAAAGGACAAGCATGGTGCGTGGCCCAGGGCAGCCGCTCAATCAATAAATGGTGGCAATCATTCAAGGATGAATCTGCTCCGGAAGCTTTTTGACAGCAGCCAAGACCTCCATTCTAGAATTATGCCCCGAGGCTCCCGTTCGGCAAGTCCTGGAATTCCAGCAGCCCCTGGCTTCCACTGAAGGCAATTAGAGAGGCATCCAGGGAAGCTGGGGCCAAGCTCTTGGTGACGGAGCCTCCCTTTGCTGAGACGCTGTGTTTCCTGCCAGAGTGGAGAGGACAGTTCCGCTGCTGCTGTTTCCGCGCACCCTCCCCGCAGGGAGATCTCGCTGGCAAACCTGTTTGTGTCTTGTGAGCTCCAACCTGCCCTCGTTCCAGTTCTTCCCACGCTTCCTGGGAGAGGATCAGAGAGGAGTCGGACAAAAGCAAAGTGACGCAGGCAGGGAGTGAGGCTGAAAACAGGGTGCCTTCGGGGCCCCACTTAAGAGCCTGAGGCTCTTGGTGAATGAGCTTTGGGAGCCTCAGTTTCTCCACCATTGGAGGAGGTAGGTCAGCCCGAGTCTCGAGACCCTCCTGCTCAGACTACAGTGTTGAGGGGGAGGGGGTGGCTGGAGGACCCGCACCCTGCCTTTGGCTGCCCCTCGGGGTGACTGAGCTCCTTCTAACTACGTTGAATTTGCAGGTGTGCCTGTGTCCCCTTCTGGGTCCAGACACACAGCTCTCGGCTCCTGAATCCTCTGTCCTGTTATCTGAGTGAAAGCCATCTACACAGGTGTGAAATCCTTGTTCACAAACATAATAAATAATCTGTTGAGCCGTTACTGTGTGCCAAACACCGAACCTAAAATGTCACGTGGATCGGCTCTTCAGCTGCTTTTCTCAGCCCTGACAAGGAGGTGCTGTTATTGTCCCCATTTTGCTCATGAGGTCAGGCCACCTGCCTAAGGTCACACAGCGTCAAGATAATACATCCTGTCTGACTGACTCTCAGAATTATGCTCTGAACTATTAGGTGTCTGTCCTGTAGGTCTGACCCAAAATGTCTCGACCACAGAACATGGGAATTTTAAAAGCTTGAGTTTGAAGGGGTTATTTTGGGAGCCAGAAGCCGGAACTCCTGTGCTAGCCCTGTTCCCTTCAGATCTTATTAACCTGTTTGTGCATCCATAGCCGGTCTCCGTGCTCCTGTGGCTCTGAGAGTTCCGGGGAGACTCACCCTCCAGCCTCCCAGGCGGTGCTGCCTTTCTGGGGTAGTTTTGCTAAAGTCACTCCCGCCTGGGAGCCCGAGGAAAAGGCAGCAGATCAGAGCTGGTTCTCTCCCTGAAGCCTCTTTGCATCTTCCCAAGCCTTTGATCACCATTCAGCCCACAATCCAGCTCTGCTCCCCGGAGGGAGAGGTGATGGCCGGGAGGGAAACTCATTAAACCACCTCATTTCAGCCCTGCATTCCTTATCGAAGCGCTAAGAGGGATCTCAGAGTGTGTTGCATTCCCTGGCAGCTGCAGGCTTTCTGCATTCCTTAGGACACTTGGCTTGCAAGAACAGAAATTAATTCCAGCGAGGTGGTTGCAGTTATCTGTTGCCGCATAACAAAGCATCCCAAATTGAGTGATTTAAAGCAACAACAGTATATTACTTTTCATGATTCTGTAGGTTAAGAATTCAGGCAGGGCTCTGCTGGGCAGGTTTTCTGCTCCACACAGCATGGACTGGGGTTGCTGTCTCAGCTGCATTCGGCTGGTGACTGGGCTAGACTGGAAGGTCCAAGAAAGCTTCATGCCCATGTCTATGCCTCTGTGCTCTACGTGTTCCCTTTCTTTCCTTATTTGGTAGTCTGACCTGAGCTCCTTTGCGTGGCAGCTGAATCCCAAGAGAGCAAAGATGAAACTTGCCAGGATTCTTAACAGCCAGGTCTGAAACTGATAGGGCATTACTCCACCATATTCTACCAGAGAGGGGAAAGGGATCCCTTCTGCTCATGGAAGAAAGACTTACGCATCCCCAGGAAGGTATTGATGGCGGTCATCTGGGGTGGCTCTGCCACATTATACGACAAGGGGAATTTAAAATAGGTATTCAGAGCTACCTCCAGGATCCAAGCTTAGCCTCATGAAAGGTCTGCTGCTCATCCCACATGGTAGAAAACGTAGCCATGCTACACCTCCCCACGGTTATAGCTCTTCTTCGTCCTAATTCCAAATTCCCAGGGAAGGACCTCTGATTGCCTTAGCTCACCCTGAGTACCCATCCCTCATCCAGTCAACCACGGCCAGAAGTGCCAGGCCGCGTGGATGCTGAGTGCTTCTCCTGAGCATGAGAAGGGCCTTTATGAGTTGAACACACACCCGTGAGGTGTACACAGGACCTTTAGCTATATTAAGGCTGGAATTGAACATCTGCTTGGGAAAACTTGTGTTTGTGGATTTCGGTTTTAATTTTTTTTTCCCCCAGTGGTAGGTCCCCTCTTCATCCTTATCTTATTTCTTTCTGCCCACAACCTCTCAAAGGCATTTGCTCATGTATTTTGCCTGTGAAGGGACAGGCAGCTGGAGCTGGGTGGCTTCCATTTGAGATCAATGTCCCTAAACAGATGGGCCCAAAAAAGTAATTAGGATTTGTCATTAACCTTGGTGTCCAGATGCTGTGATGGAGGAGGAAGTCAGACACAACCTGTTGTTGACAGAATCTGTTGGATTCTTGTCACCTCTCCATCTTGGTTCCATCATCCCCTGTCTTTTTGGCACAGAATTTTCCAAAAATGTGGACAGAGGGAAAAGTGAATAATAGTGCTT